GACTAACGCAGCCATGTTAGCATCATTCATTCATCCCTCCACCATCCCCATCCTCATCTCACTGGGGCACAGAGCCGGGTCTCTGCCACTCCATCTCTGCTGAGAACTGTCAATGGTCCAGTGTTGGAGTACTCACACATTAGCTGAATGAGTTACAGGAAAATGGCATGAAGATAAATATATTAGGGACTACAGTGAAAAATTGCCATACATTTTAAAGATGGAACACAGATCTCTAATAAACACTTGCAAAATCTGATGAGGGCTTTAAACTCTGTCTCAAGAAATTCATGTTTGGAGTTCAAGTTCACACGTTTTAGCTAGGGGATACTTTGATGGAAAAGTTCCAAAAGGCTGGAACACACTGTACCACGCTGTTTATCCCCTCCTTTGATCTCATTCTTTCATGCTTCTCTTCATCTCTCTATAATTATGAGTCGGAATTGAAGAGAGGATGGCCTGTGCTAGGGAAAATATGTTGCCTGCCTCAGCATACATACAGTCCCAGCTTTGCTTCCACGTTGGATCTACATTGTGGTTGTTTTTTTTTTTTTTTTCAATGTAGAGAGGCAGACACAGAGAAAAACCTCCTGTCTGCTGGTTCACTCCTCAAAAGCCAGGGCTGGGCAAGGCTGTAGCTGGATCTGGGAACTCCATCTGGGTTTCCCATGTTGGTGGCAGGGACCCAAGTACTTGAGCCATCACCTGCTGCCTCCGAAGGTGTGCATTAGCAGGAAGCTGGATTGGAAGCAGAGCTGGGACTAGAACTCAGGTACTTTGATACTGGATGAAGGCATCCTAAGCTGTATCTCAACCACGGTGCCAAATGCGCACTCCTCATTGCTGGAATGCACACTCTCTGAATAATTTTTCCCCTGGCACTTTTTACTTTAAAAATGTTGACAAAATACATAAAATATAAAATTTACCATTTAAACTGTGTTAAGTGTACAGTTCACTGGCATTAGTGCATTCACATAGTTGTACAACCATCCCCATGATCCATTCACAGGCCTCTCTCATCAGCCCAAGTGAAATTCCATGTCAATAAAAGTGGCTAAATACTGTTTCGCCATTCCCTCCTGGCCCCAGCCCTTTCTGTGTGTATGGATTTGGCCATGGTTGGTCCTTCTAATGGGTGGAATCACATTTTTTTTTTTTGTCTTTGGTTGGTTTATGTCACTTTATGTCATGTCTTCAAAGTTCCTCCATGTTGTACTTTGTGTCAGCATTTCATTCTTTTTAAATGCTGAACAAATATTCCATTATATGATATATACCATATTTGGTTTTTCTACTCAGGCATTGATGAAAATTTGGGTTGTTTCCATCTTTGGCTTTGTGAACAATGCTGCCACAGGTATACAAAGATTTGCTCAAGTCCCTGCTTTCAATTCTTATCCAGAAGTGGAATTGCTAGATCACACAGAAATTCTGTGCTTAATTCTTTGAGAACTATCCCAGTCATTTTTTCTTCCTGCTATATTGCCAGAGTCGGTTATTATCATCAGTTTTAACAGTCTATTTTTTTCATCAGTCTACTATCCTACACTTATCCCAAATGACCTCTCTTTTATTTGTTCTCTCTTTCATTTACCAAGGTTATTCAGAAGCATAATCTTCTGTTCCACAGAACTGATTTTCTCCAAAACACAAACATTAGACCTCAATGTTTAGGAAAATCCTGCCATTTCTCAAGTCATTAGGTGCATCAGTTAAAGAGTATGAATCCACAACTTTCGTGGGGAGGGCAGAGGAGAAAAGAGAGTGGGAATTCTTTCAATCAGTACCAAGGTACCAGGCTGGTATGCATCAGATGGCAAACTGGAAAATGAGAGTTCCTAACAGACAACTGTCTCACTCAGGAGCACCCCTGACACACAAGCAGTACTGGGAATCAGGAGTCTACCTCCTCCTGCAGAACTGGAAGTTGTAGCTGCTGCCATATGGGCAGTGAGGATCTTGAAATTGAGTTGTGAATGGGCACAGGTAGAACCCACCTCTCCCCCACTTTCACCTTGCTTCTTCCTTCTTGACACCCACACTGTGGTTACCTGACCTGAGTGCTCCCGTTCACACCGGAAGATCAAACCCCTCCAGAAACAGCAGTTTCCATTGCAACATTGCGTGATTTTGCGTATGAAATCTCTTTCACATGCAGTCAATGAGCCTGGCCCCCTTCCATCCTCCAGTCATCTCATGATCAATCCTCCTTCCCTGCCTCTCTGTCTGGGGTCACGTTCTCATCAGGACCATGGCAATGGGGTCTGAATGGGTTTCCCCTAGAGTCAGCATTTCTATTGCACCCTTCACGCTGTTGTAGGAAGGTGTTTCCCAATTTTTAGTCCAAGTCCTTGCCCCAACGTGAGATAGATTCAAAGCAGAGGCATAAGTGAAGTGCACAGTGGCAGCAGGATTTGTCTAATGGGCAGGAGTGACCGTACATTCAGTGTGAGTGTGGGCAACCGCCCGAGGAGAGGCCAGAGAGCAGCCCACAAGGAGAGAGCACAGGAAAAGGTAAGAGAAGGGTGCTCCCAAGTCCAGCAGTCCCGCTGATGGGCCTAACTGAATATACAACTGGGGGAAGTTTGGGCAAGTGTGTGAGGTTTCCTGGGAGCTTCGCGGCACCTCCACGGAGCTTACACTTGCTCATGGCCTCTCCCGCCTCCCAGTCTCAGGGTAGATGTAGGTGCATCATGGGAACGTGGGCATACTGAATCGACAGCAGAGTCCTTCTTTCTCCAATCACCCCCTTTCCTCCTCACCTCGCTTCCTAACCACCATCTTTACCACATGAAGAAGGGGGTGCTTCAAATCTCTCCACATCTGGATCTTAGGATGAGATTGTGAAACTGCACTCAACTCCCTAGATGTCTGGAGAAGACTCTTTCTGGCTTCAAAATCTTGATGTGCCACCCTCACATCCTGTAGGAGTTGGAGTCTTCTGCACTCTGGCTGCTTGCTTGCCTGCTATGCTCCCCTGGAATTTATGACCTCCTGCCCCCCACCAGCTCCCCTGGGATTTATGGCCCGATGCTTCCCACCAGTTCTTCCCCGTGCCATCTCCTTTGTGTGGCCTTCCCACCACATAACATAGTCTTTACATTTAAATGAACCAATGAACACGTTAGGTCCCAATACCTTGCCATATAGAGAGTGAGAAGGTAAGCTACATAGGAGATGACCTGCACCCTTGTAAGTGTGAGGCTATTAAAAGCCTCTCTTATGCAAACGAGAGGGCCTTTTGCCTGTGCACTGCTAAATGGCTGTGTGCGGGTAGGGGGTCCCAGCTGGCTGGTAACAAATAAACCTCTGCTTTCGCATCCGTGACTGTGCCTTGTGCATTGACTGGGAAATTCGGACACAACAATCCTAGCTGAAATTTCCCCACTACAATAACAACAAAAACTGCTGCGTATATTTTTGTAAGGTGCCTTAAAATCCCCCTCTCCCCCGACAAGGCAAAGGTATACGTTAATCAAGTTAGAATTCAGGTGGCCATTTGTTCTGATTGGCCTGGGATAGTCTTAGAATATGCCTATCGCCCTTCCTTAATCTTAATTTGGAGGATAACATATAGGTTCAGCTTAGATAAAAGCACATCTTGGGCCGCCGGTGTGCCGTAGAGGGGTAAGCCGCCACCTATGACGCCAGAGTCCCATATGGGCAGCAGTTTGTGCCCAGGCTGCTCATCGGCAGATTCAGCTACCTGCTAATGTGCCTGGGAAAGCAGCAGAGAACGGCCCAAGTCCTTGGGCACCCCCCACCAGATGGGAGACCTGAACGAAGCTCCCAGCTTACTTCTGGCCCAGCTCTGGCTGTTGCAGGCACTTGGGGAGTGAACTAGCAGAGGAAAATTTCTCTCTCTCTGTCTGCCTTTCAAATAAATAAACAAATCTTTTTAAAAAAATCTTGATTTTCCAATAAACTTTTCTAGGAAGACTTTTTTTTTTTTTTTTTTTTTTTTTTTTTTTTTACTACATCACTGCATTTATTTGCATAACAATTCTGCAAGTAGGAAGGGAAACATTTTATCTCAAACAAAGGAAGTGACTAAGTCTTCTTTGGCATAGGTAGTGACTGTCCTAGAAGTCACACTCAGGGCCAGAAGCTAGGATTCAGGACTTCAAGTCCGACACAGTTCTAGCTGGGGGCCGCAGGTGCACATGCCTGAGTGGAGGCAAACCTCCCTCTCCTTCTCTCTGGTGATCTGCTTGGGGACGGGACCTACAGCAGTCAGACACTTCCCCTTGCTCGGGGACTGTCCTTCCACATTGAAAGCAAGCAAAGAAATGAAAGCAGAATTGCCAAAACATAAAGAGCCTGTTAGTGAATCCTGGAGCCAAACGACATAGGTCTTCCATGTTCCTGGGTGTACCTGCATCAGATTATTTGACGATTACCTCTGTCTAAATTCGGACGTCTCAGTTAACAAAAACGCATGCCTAACATTGCGAAGCAGATATAAATGGGTTCTACTGTGTCCTGTAGATATATTTTCCTTATAATGACACACTATTTATTTTGTTGCTGTTAGCCTTCTAAAACCAGCCAAATCCTACCCTCCCTGGATGAGTGGCAATGAGAAAACAGAATCCCTGTTCTCCCGAAGACAAGCATGGTGCTTCCTAAGGTCTCCAGGATACCCCGCGGGTTGGCCCCACCAACAAAGAAACGCCCACTCTCTGAACCTCCTGCTGCGCTGCCCACAAGGAGACCTGGGGACCCGCGGGCGCCGGGCTGGGGACCCAGCGTCCCTCCCAGTCTGTGGCAGGGACACACAGAGGGCCAGTGTGCCCTGGGAAGGATGGCTCCCAGCCGCTGGCCCGTCTAGCCTGACCGCAGCATAAGGGATGGGAGCCTTCGGGCCGGCTGTGGGCTCCGCAGCCTGGGCAGGAGGCTCAAAGCAAGAGGGCATCGGAGGACAGGAGCGCGGTCCCCGGGGAGGGGAGGAGGGCCGCGCGCATGCGCACCGGCGCCGCCGCCGCCGCCGCCGCCGGCCGGAAGCGCGGGGCCACCCGGCGGCTGCTGCGGCTGCCGGCGCCAGACGCCGCGCCGGCCGCGGGAGAGTGCGGGCCGCGACATGCGGCCCCAGGACAGCGCCGGGGACCCCGCGGTGCTGGCGGAGCCCGCCGAGGTGGCGGAGCCCGGGCTGCAGCCGGCTGCCGAGGCGCCCCCGGGCGCGGGCGAGGAGCCGGCGGCCGCCGAGGCAGAGGGGACTCCCGGCCGCGGCAGGTGCTGGCTGTGCAGTTCCTCGCCGTGCTGCTCGCACGCGGAGCCGGGTGAGTGCGCGCTGCGGCCTCACGCGGGTCTCTTCCCGGGGGCGGCAGCGCAGTGCCCGCCGCGTCCCCTTCCCCACCCTGCCCCGCGCCCCGGAGAACCCGCAGCGAGCTGTCTGTCACCTGGGAGGCTGCAAAGCAGAAGTCCCGTGCGCCCCTCCGGCGCCGAGACGGGAGAAAGTTTCTGACGGGTTGCCACCCTGTGGGGGATTCGGAGGCGAGCAGGAACCCTGGGGTCGGATCGCAGCCCTGCCCGGGGGCAGCGAGAGAGGCCCAGCCGGGGTTGGGAGCGAGCCGACCTGGCCGGTAAACCGTGCTCCCTGGAGGGGAAGTCGGGAAGCAGGCAGTCGTCTCAGCGTCTTGAGTGGGAGCCCCGGTACTCAGCGTGTTTGGGATACGAGGGCTTTTTAGCAACGGACGCAAAAACAAGGCTTTCCTTGTTCCCGGCTCCCCAGCGTCCTCCCCAGGGACCCCCACGGACGAACCCTTGGGTTTGCTCACGTCCCCCTTCCACACCTGAGGAAAAGTGAGGCTCGGAACGGGAGGGCTTTGGGTTTCTTGTTCTGTTTCCCCCGGGATCTGGCTTGGGTGGGTGAGAGGGGAGCAGGTCGGGGCAACCCGAGGGTTAGGACCGCTTCCCACTGGCACGGCTTCCTAGAATGAACGGGGCGGGTGGGGGTGGGCAGGGAGACAGACAGACAGAGACTCCTGCTGGGGCAGGTGGCTCTGTATGCCTCGCCTCTTTGTGGCCTGGGATTTCTGTGCCTTTTACCCCCACCTCACCGCCACCCCCCCCACTATCCCCAATTCCGAGAAAACCCTAGGAAGATGATTCTTGCTCCACTTCTGTCCTAAATGCTAACAGCAGTCATCAGACCTCTGATCATTTATGCATGAGCTGGTGCCTCCAGAGCAGGGGTGTCCCCGCTGGGTTGACCAGATGTACAGCCTTTGAAGGGGTGGGTTTCTCTCCTCACCATCCTGTGGCTGAATGTCATTCTGGTGCCAGTGAGTCAGCCCTTGGAAACTCTTGAAAGCTTTCCCTGGGGCTGTGCGTCAGGTGGCACCTAGCAAAATGGCCGGGGGAGTGTGAGCATCTAAGAATCTTGTGGGCTCTTAACGTCAGAGAAAGTTGCTGACTAAGGAGATCAGATAATGTTCTGAAGATAAGATATCCGTAAAAACTCCTTAACCCACGGTGCTGTTGTCCTTGAACTGTGGGACACGGTCATTTTCGCCTCTTGATCTGCTTGTCTTATTCAGCAAAGTTCGTTCCGGTTGAGGTTGAGATTGTGACCTGTGTTCCTTGCGTTCTTGGAGGACCTGAGCAGAAGGCACACAGCTGTCCTGAGACACCTCTCTGGTTTCCCCAGGGACAGTGGCCCTCAGACTGAAGCTGGAAGACATTGGGGTAGGCGAGTTCTGTAGGGTAGCAGTGTTCTCGGAGCAGGACCCAGGTTCTGTTTCAGTGAGCCTGGGAATTAGTGGTAGAAGCTCTTACTCAGGTGATCCGAATTCCCAACCTGGTTTGTGAATCACCAACATTGAGCAGAGGTCGGCCGGACCGAGCAGGTTTTCCATTTTCTTTTAAGACACTTTCCAGGGGCCACTTAACGTCATCTGAATTCTTTAGAGTTGCCAGGTTATTAGATAGGCTTGCAGTGGGATGTGAACAGGGAAACCCCTTACATAGGCATGTGGCTCTTGGTTAGGCACCTCACTTGCTCATCTCCATGGACAGAGAGAAATGAAATTTTTATTCAGTAAGAGGTTGAGGTTTGCCGGAGTAGGATCAGTCCTCACTCTCATTAACAGATAGTCAGGTTCAGCGAGGGCGTCTGGCATCTGTCCCGATCAGGAGGCATGAACCTGAAGAAAATACGTACGCATGTGTTTTAAGGGAAGAGACCATCAGAGCCAAGGGCGTACAATCCCATTTTAAAAGAGTTGAAATACCACGTTAAAATATTCCTGGAGACTAACTAACTAGCTTAGTTTGGAGAAAAGCCTTGAAATACAGACCAGGGAGATGTTTTTTTGTCCTGATCTTCTCAGCCTGTTCTGTCTGAGGGTGGAGGCTCTGTGCGTGGGTTGGGTTTCTTTTCAGAAAAACTGTTTTATTTGGATCTGAATTCTGAAATTTCAGAAGCCAAACTCTGAGGCTGACCACAGGCCAGGCCTGTATTTTGTGGTGCTGAGCTGGGGAGTGTCCTGAAGCTTCCCGGTCCCGGGCTGAGCCACTGTGTGCAGCTGGGTTCTGCAGCATCTGGGCGCTGGAGTTCCGAGCAGAATGCGGAGCACCGGGCCGCTGGGACAGAAGGGGGGCTGCTCACTGCAAGCAGTCTGCCCCGCGGCGCACCTCGGGCAGCACCGGGTCGGGGCTGTGCTGAGAACGGCATCTTTGACTCCAAAGGTCAGGCTGTAGACTAGCTCCAGAAATGCTGCAGCATCACAGTTTGATCTCGACTGGCAGACGAGGTATCTAAGTGACATGAGGACATTGAAATAATTACCTGCTAGTTACACGTATCAGAGAAGGTCATTACAAATTATTATGCAACACTGGCCAGCAGCTGGGTAGCACACTGTGTATTCCTGTAGTGGAAGGGAAATCCCAGGTCCCCACAAATTTTGTGTGTGCTGCCCTGCGGTGCTGCCTTTGTCCTTAACAGAAAAGGGCAGTTGTCTTTCCTTCTTACCCCCCTGCGTTTTTGTATTAGTTTCCCAAAAGGAAAAAAAAAAAAAAAGATACATTTGACAATGTGTGGCCTATCTTTTAGGATGTTTTCTGCTTACCCTGCTTCATTTTGCTGTCTGAAAGATAGAGGAGTGAGATTAAAAGCAGATTCTACTTCTAGGGCAGGAAATTGAAGATTTAGGAAGTTGCTAAGAAGAAGTTTTTTTTTTTTTTAATAAAAATTTATTTTATTTATTTGAAAGTCAGAGAAAGATAAGAGATCTTCCACCTGCTGGTTTACTCCCCAGATGGTTGCAGCAGCCAGGGCTGGGCCTGGCAAAAGCCAGGAGCCAGGGGCTTCATTTGGGTCTCCCACGTGGGTGCAGGGGCCGTCCTCCACTGCTTTCCCAGATGCCTTAGTAGGAAGCTGGGTCAGAAGTGGAGCAGCTGGGACTCGAACTGGTGCCCATACGGAATGCCAGCATTGCAGTTGAAGGCTTAACCCATTACATCACAATGCCGGTGGCCCCAGCAGAAGTTCTGAGTTCACGTCATTTGTCATTAATTCATTGAGTACTGGATGCCCTGGAGAAAGCAGGCATTTCCTGGTTCAGGTCAAGCCAAGAAAGGGGGATTAGATAGATGGCAGTGCTGTGCAGAGCACGCGAGAGAGCGCACCAGACGGGCCAGCCCTACCCATAAAGAGTCTGTGCTCTAGACAGTAAGGTACGTTGTGAACCGTGGCACGTTACCTTTGATGGGCAGTTCAGAGTAACCCAGCAGAGAGCCTTCCCGGTGCTGCTGCTTGCAGTAGAGGTAGACTCTTCAGTCGTTCACGAAGCTCTCATCATCTTTCAGTCATCCGTGTGCCAGGCGCGAACGAGGCAGCAGAGACCCCAGCCCTGGAGGCGCTCCCAGGCTTGGGGCCACAGTCAGGTCGTCTGCCACCATGCAATAGCGTGGTGAACTCTCTTCCAGAAAGAGCCCTTGCTTCCTGCAGCCACGCTCGCCGTGAGACCGTGCCGCGTGTTAATCCTGTGGCCGGGTTTTTCACTGGCCACCGGACAAGTGTGTCTTTAAGATTCCCCTCACCCACATGGCAGGTGTTCTACTCTGGACGCATAAGGGAGGGCTGACTCTTAGGTGATCAGTTTGGAGGGAGAAACAGCATTGATGAAATGCAGTTCCAAATCCTTGCCCCTGCTGCTCCACGGGTCAGGTGGTTCAGGGCGGGAGAATGAGCGTGCCCAGGAGGTGAGGTGTGTATCCCCTTAGCTGTTGACACTGTTCCGGTTTTCTAAGTGAAAATGCTAAAACGTGCACTTGGAAGCAAGGACTAATCCGAATTTGATCTCTTTCAGAAGCCAAGAAGAAAGCAGCCTGTCCTGGACTTGGCTTGTTTTACACATTATTGTCTGCCTTCCTTTTCTCAGTGGGCTCTTTATTTGTTAAAAAAGTGCAAGACGTCCATGCTGTAGAACTTAGTGCATTTCGATGTGTGTTCCAAATGCTAGTTGTTATTCCTTGCTTAATATACAGAAAGTAAGTATTTCTTAACTGCCAAGTAGACGATTTTAATAAATGTGTGTCAGTCTTTTGCCTGAATTATTTGCCATGCAGTATCTGCTTTATCAGATTTAGGGATTTAGTTATTTACCAACCCCATTGTGCAAACAAAACTTGTGGTGTATACATGCCCCTACCTCGCCCTACCCTGTATATGAAAGAGAGAGTGAATGAGGGGAAGTAGTAGCGTGTCCTTATGCTGGAACAGTCTGTGTAGAACATGCTCTTGGCAGGGCAGACAGAGGTTGGAGTGATAACACTTAGGTCTTCTCCAAGGGTAACCTTGAGCAAGGCCTTTTTAACCTCTTTGGTATTCATTGCCACATTTGTAAACTGGAGGGCGTGGTACTGGGTGTACCTGACCCGGCAGGGTGGTTGCAGGGCCAAGTAAGAATTACATTAGGTCTGAGTGCTCTGTGTGGAATGTAATGGCAATTTTAGTCCCTCCTATCTCTCCTCTCTCCTCTCTCAGTCCTCCTCCTCTCTCCTTACGCACGCCCCACCTACCCCACCTCACCCTCCCTGATTAAAGTTGTGCCTCCCTCTGCACACTTCAAACTCTGGCAGGGATACCAGCTGGGGCCTTGGTGGCTGTCTGTCTCTTTTTTTCTCTCTTTGGGCAAAAATTCTTAACCCCCAAATTAAAAGCTTCGGGCACTTGTCCCCAAAGTCGCTTTGTATCTCATCACACAGTCCAGATTCACTTAGATTCATTTCTATCCATTTCCTGAGGATTTGGTGGAGAAAGTGAAAATCCACTAAGGTTAATGTTGTCAGAAATTTCTGGGTACATATGTAGACACGTCACAGTATTTTAAGAAATGATGGTAAAATTTCATACATTTCTGTAAGAGGCAGCAGGGCCACTTAAAATCTTTGGCCCTAAACTGTTTTGGTCCATTTTATGTTTCCCTGTCATGAAAACCTATTAGTTTCTCAAAGTCTGGGCCAAATGTGGCCGGCCATGCTGACTCAGAAACCCAGGGGTGTTTATGTCCAGCCTACCTAACACCCTCACGGAGTCTGGCCCTGGCACAGATCGGAGCGTTGCACCCAGTCAGGAGCTTCTCCAGAGGAGGTGCTTCATAAATATTCAATTGAAAAGAGACTGAGTTGCAAAAATTACCCCACCACAACACTACAGGTGCTTTTGCAGTGTTGAATTCTTTCCTCATGAGAACAGTGAGGAAATGGCTAAATTTTAGAATTATTTCACCTTTGATAGAAGAACTCACAAGACCAGGAATGGACTGGGCACCCTTACACAATGCAGCTGAATCTTGAAATTCTATTTATTATAAAAATCACACATTTTGATATAGTAAGTCTGGGGAAATCATGGATGAGCCCACCTATTAAAGTATGACCATATTGACATTTATTATCCTATTTGTCTTTTTTTTGAAAGCATATGTTGAGATATATATATATATGGGGAAATATTATCTGTTACTGAGTTATAAGTATATTATTTTTATAGTTCTTTTGTGCTGTTTTTGCTTATACTGTGAGCACTTTATTGCCATTAGCTATACTTAGGAAATATTTATAAAAGCTATATAGTATTCAGTTGTGGATAGTACAACTTACTATTCCCTTATTTCTTTAGTAATTTAAAAAAATGTTTAATTGAAACGTCTAACTGAAAAGCAAATGCCAAGTTCATTTAATATGCGTTTCTTCATTTGAATTTACAGAACTGGGTTTATAGGCCCAAAAGGTCAACGAATTTTCCTCATTCTCAGAGGACTCCTTGGTTCTACCGCCATGATCCTAATATACTATGCTTTCCAGACAACGTCCCTCGCCGATGCCACAGTTATCACGTTTAGCAGCCCAATGTTCACGGCGTTGTTTGCCTGGATATTTCTCAAGGAAAAATATAGCCCTTGGGATGCTCTTTTCACCTTGTTCACGATCACTGGAGTGATCCTTATCGTGAGACCACCATTTTTGTTTGGTTCCGACACTTCAGGGATGGAAGAAAGCTATTCGGTCCATCTTTTGGGAACGCTAGCAGCAATTGGACATGCCGTGTTTGCTGCAATGACTCTAGTTATCCTAAGGAAAATGGGAAAATCTGTGGACTACTTTTTGAGCATTTGGTATTATGTAATAATTGGCCTCATGGAAAGCACCATCGTCCTCTTCGTAATAGGAGGCTGGAGTCTGCCCGACTGTGGGCTTGACAGGCTCTTTCTCATACTCATCGGGCTCTTTGGTTTGGGGGGTCAGGTATTTCTCACAAAGGCAATTCAGATAGAAAAGGCAGGGCCTGTGGCAATAATGAGGACGATGGATGTGGTCTTCGCTTTTATCTTTCAGATCATTTTCTTTAACGATGTGCCCTCGTGGTGGACAGTGGGTGGTGCTTTCTGCGTAGTAGCCAGTAGTGTTGGAGCGGCTGCTCGCAAATGGATGCAGAATTCCAAATGAAGCGTCGCTGCTGAGCCCTGTGTGTTTCTCAGATACCCCGTCACCTAGTAGGACACAGCACACACACACGCACATGCACACCTGCACCTGGAAAATCTGCATTTATTCATTGATTTCATCTAATAAATTTCAGAAATAAAGTACCATTTTTGAATATGATATGTCTTTCATTAGTTAAGAATAGCTAGTCTGTTTGGCTTAGCAATTCTGTGGTAGTTTCTGTTTTGATTCAGGTTTCTTTTCTGTTGTGTGGTATCGGTAAGAGGAGAGCTCACTGTTTGACTCTAGTAATATATGTAATTTTAAAAACATTTTTGGTACTGACGGGATATGGGTGGGGAGGAAATTTTAGATTTTTTTTTTTAGCATTGCAGAGCCTAAGAAACCTGTTGACCGTGCTGCTATAATTAGTATTATGTTGGCAGTTCATTTGCAACGATATTCCATTTAGAGGCCAAAGCTGAAACTTAGAATAGGTGCCTAAAGAACAGTGTTAATAGTACAAATGCATTGGCCTTATTTTTGAAGATTTTATGAATAGTTACCGTACTATTAACTCTTATTTGTGCCTTTTCATTTTAATGCCAGAATTTTTATATATTTTTTAAAAAAGTTGAAATCACCAAAGTTGGCTAAATAGTTTTCTGTTTCAGTGGCATTTTAGTAACTGAGGTTGTCATTCTGTTATTTTAATTGTCCTTTTTTTTAAACTCCACTAAATTTCCCTTAACATTCTAAGATTTCAGGTCTTTAAAAAAAAATCACCAAAGTTGGCTAATTGTTTTCTGTTTCAGTGGCGTTTTAGTAACTGAGGATCATTCTGTAATTTAATTTTCCTCTGTTTTTTGAAACTGCACTAATTTCCCTTAACACGCCAAGGCTTCAGGTCTTTAAATAAAAAGAAAGAAACCTTGGTGTGGCCAGTGTGCACATTTCCATCCTAAAGTGTTTTCTTCCCAATAGAAGTGTGATTTTGTATACATTGTCTTTGAACTTACTCTGTGATGCCAAATACAGTTGTCTCAGGATCTTATTAGGTTGAACTGTGTGAAATTGCCAAAACTTTGCCATTTCGACTTACAAAAGCTATCATTTCACAAAGTTCACCCTAATAGATAACCTCTCTTACTGATTAGATCAAATACTTAAGAGAGTTTTGGGCTATTTTAAAAAAACTTCTTAAAAGTCCAGTAATCTGTTAAACTTATTTTATAGCCTTTTTCCTCTATGAAATTATGTGATGATGTTTCATTTTATACATTAAATACACAGACCTGTGAATCTATGGTTGATTGATGTTTGTAGTTTCTTTCATAGGAAAACATCTGTTAAATTCTAGTATATCAGCATGATGTTATCGAAGCTGCACCATGATGCTAACATCATGAATTCGAATAACACGTTTTGTATCTGGAACTTAATCGGGGCACTACTCTACGTTTAAAGAGAATTTAATATCTAGGAAAGCTTAGGGGGCTAATCAGGGTGCAGTGAGCACTTGCAAATGATTCCTGTCACAATGAACCCTTTATCGATGAGGGTATAATAAACACCAGCTTTTACCATGTCAGACAAAGCATCTACTACTATCTTTTTTTTTTTTTTTTTTAAGAATTATTTCATTTGAAAGAGTTACAGAGGGGTAGAGCCAGAGAGAGAGGGGTCTTCCATTCTGCTGGTTTACTCCCCAAATGACTGCAATGGCCAGAGCTGATCTGATCCAAAGGCAGGAGCCAGGAGCTTTTTCCTAGTCTCCCATGTGGGTGCAGGGATCCAAGGACTTGGGCCATCTCCCACTGCTTTCCCAGGCCATAGCAGAGAGCTGGGCTGGAAGAGGAACAGCCATGACTCCAACTGGTACCCGTATGGGATGCCGACGCTGCAGTCTGGGGCTTTAACCCACTGTGCCACAGCGTCATCCCCTCTACTATTATCTTAAGCCTGCAGAGTTAAAAAGATTATAGATTTTTTTTTTTTCTCATCTTCTTAACCACAATTCTTCCAAAGCAAGCAAGAACTTGGGTTTCTGGGATTTATGCCTCGGTGAGAAAGGATCTTTTCCAGTAGTTCCATGGGGGAGATTTTTGGCTTGTTTATTTATTTATTTATTTTGACAGGCATTGTTAGACAGAGAGTTAGAGACAGATAGAGACAGAGAGAAAGGTCTTCCTTCCGTTGGTTCACTCCCCTAATGGCTGCTACGGCCGGTGCTGCACCGATCTGAAGCCAAGAGCCAGGTGCTTCCTCCCGGTCTCCCATGTGGGTGCAGGCTCCCAAGCACTTGGGCCATCGTCCACTGCCCTCCCTGGCCACAGCAGAGAGCTGGACTGTAAGAGGAGTAACCGGGACAGAATCCGGTGCCTCAACTGGGACTAGAACCTGGGGTGCCGGCGCTGCAGGCGGAGGATTAGCCAAGTGAGCCACGGCACCGACCGCTACCTGACAAATTCTAAATGAAGTCTTTTTAAGTGAGTTGTATCATAACTTCAGCCCTATCCAAAATTTGATAGTTTAGACTTCCAAAAGCATCACTCTGTGAGTATCTTAGATAATTGTAGAATCTGCATTTTGGAGCTCAGATATCAGAAGTCCTATCAGAAGTCCTTTTGTGAGAGTCGCCTTCCATAGATTGGAATTGTAGGAGACCTAGCCAAGTTGGGTTCCCATGACCTTCTCACATCCCTTAGCTCCGTGATACAGAGGGAGAGGAAACCACTTCTTGTTACCCACGCTGAATGAGCTCTCAGGGACTGCTCTCCCAGTGGTTTACCTTGCACAGTTAGAGAAAAACGTCTGTGACTTTGAAAGTTAAAATTGCTTTGGATCCATATACTAGAGACATGTGTTCTATCTCAACAGTGTGGCTCAAGTACTTGAATGTCACAGTAAACGACTACAGGTGGAGAAAACGTTTCTTCTCCCCAACTTTTACAGGGTATGATTCTCAAACACTTGTAATGCCCAAGGTATACACAAGGGGATGTATTGTAACAAATATGGGTGTGTATATTTTGCAAAGATTATAGTTTCTATATCTTGAAAAACTATTTTCATAAATTGCTTTTATTTTGTAAGCACTAATAAAATCATATGGAAAAAGCTATATGTTGGTTTTTCTGATTATAGAAAATGTCTTAACTAGTATAACTCACTTCCATTTTCATATAACTTATTTCCTTTTTCATCCGTATACTAGAAATTAATTTTCTATAAATTGACGCCCAGTAAGCTGGCTGGGATGTAATCTCATTTCATACTGTTCATCTGTCCCTGTTACCCTGTCAGATCAAACCCAGTGCCTCCAAGATAAAGGCACTAATCTGTTCCAATGAAGTCGTCATTCTTCCAGCCCCTCAGAGCTTGGGGTGACTTTGAACTCTGCTTTTATTCCCACAGCTCTCCTGTTACTAAATCCTGGAGTCTGTCTTACGGATTCATTGTTTCCTCACCATTGGCTACCATCCTAGCCCTAGTCCAACACATACCGCCTCACACCTGGGATCTCTCAACACTGTCCTAATTGGGTTACTTCTAGACTCTTCTACTGTAATCCTTGTCTCCACGCCAAGTTAGTCTTCCCCAAACCTGCTTTCAGTGGCAGTCTGGTTCTCATGAAACCACAGTGATGCCTGTTATATACCATCATTTCCCAATTCTTCATCTGGACGTTTTCCCACTTCTCCAACCTGATTTCCCATGGCCCAACACAGATCGGATGTTCAGACCCGTCTTTTCCCTGACTTCCTATTTACCAGCAGTGGCCTCACTGTTTCCCGTTCACCTTACCTTCTCTTACTCCCCCTCTGAAGCCGATTAGCCTCCTGTGGCTCAGCTAAAGCTGTCATTTCTTTCTCCGGCTCTTGCTTCTCTTGTCCATGGAATCCACTTTAGAAGGGGGGGTGAAGCACACTGATTAGGGGTCTGAAGAGCTGGTTTTACTGTTTCCCAGCTGGGCAGTCATCCCGTGTACCTGATTCTTCTTCTCCTCATTTGTCTGATAGACTAGTGCTTTCCCAACCCACCTTAGCAACAAGTGCCATAGGAGGACCCGAGGACCACAGAGAAGGAATAAAAATGTTATGTATTGAACTGTGGTAAATACCATGGAGTTGTACTCACCCTCCCCAAGGGGAGACCTTATCGGCTCCTCCTGGGGCTGACTCGAGGTGACAGTAGAACACATCTTTGAGAATGCAGACCCCATTCAGCCCCCTGCTCCTAGCACAGAACTCTGTTGGACAGCTTTGATGTCCCGCTGGTCGGTCCATGTGGGACCGCCCAGGGGCACAAGTCATTTTATGCGTAAGTTTTGCCGTCTTTCAGTTGCTGTTGGCTTTGGTCCTCTGTTGAGTACTGCACATGGCTGAGTGGGGGAATGGTCCTGATTCTGTGTATTTCTCATGCACTAGTCCCTGTGCTCAGCGTGCCTCTTCTAACCTCTGAGCTGATTATTCAGTAAGCAGTCTTGGGAGGGTGTTCTAAAGAGATGAGAACCAGACGTCCTTGCTAAAACCATGGCCTCTGATTAAGTGTGTATGGATCCATGGTCAGTCGTGGGCATTAGAATTTGGTTATTGGGATGTAGATTGAACATTAAAGTGTGGCCCTCATCCCAAGCACACCCTTAAAGGTCCTCTTGTTACCTTCCAGCAAACCTAATACCGCTGTCCTATGTACCTATTCTGTGTGATGCCCTATCAGGTACTCCGATCCACAAGGAAAGACCCATCCAGGTTTTAGTGTATTTGAACATTAAGTTTGGAACTGGAGTTGGCAGATCAACTCAATGAGAGCCCATGAACTTTGCCACTGTCTGTCACCTCCTGGAAATTGGGAGGTGGGGCTTTATAGCAGGAGGGTAAGGAGCAACCGTATCTGGTATTAAGACAGGGCAGCCCAGTGCACAGGAAGGGCTCTGGAAATGTCACTACTGGGGAAAGAACCTGGGTCATTTCAGTGAAACTTTTATGACTCTGGAAACCACCTGAGATGAATACCAGCAAGCCTAACATCAAGCGAAAGAAGTAGCCCAGATTTGTGAGGAAGGCCAGGCTGAGGTCAGGAGAGCAGAGATCTACATTTGAGCAGAGGTGGACGTAGGCAGGAGAATGTGTTCAGGTGAACCGTGCACCATCAAGGTGGC